CTTATTGTCGGCGTTCTACCTTCCTCAACCGTTTGGTCCCATCGATGCTGACAAGCGCTTCAAGCTCCCTCGTTCGTCTCCTCCGCTCCACCCTTTCCTCTGTCTTCTTCTTCTTTCTTTGTTTTCTTTCTTCTTTTCTCTTTACCACTTCGCGATTTTTATTTTATTTTATTTTATTATTTTTATTATTTTTATTATTTTATTTTATTTTATTTTATTTTATTAACCCTAAAAAGTAGTACAACTAGCTTTTCTCTCCTCACTTATTGCCAGCTGTACGGCTCTTACACTTCTTCATTCCTTTAAGCAAATCTGTAAATTCACAAGTTTTATTTCTTTCAATGGCTTTTATCTTCAAGTTCATTGCAACTCTCCATTTTGAGCTTTGAACAACTTCAAAAGTAGTCGGATCTATAATTGAGGTTAATAGAACTAAATTGATGTGTTCGGCTTCTTCAGAAAATTTTCCCCTGCTCACATAATCTTCCATCCATAATGGTGCTCGTTTGTTCCTCCCTTTTGGTATGCTTTCTTCCAATGTTGAAGAATTTGCTTCAGATGACTCAGTAGAAGATATATTAACTTCCCTTCCTTCTTCTACTACCAATATTTTGCCATCCAACTTCTTTCTCTTCCCGTCCGATACATGAACATGACTAATGCATCCAAAAACTCGAAAATAATCAACATTAGGTTTTACACCACTCCAAGCTTCCTTAGGAGTCATATATTTCACTATCATTGTAAGACTTTTGTTGAGAACACGCACTGTCTGTAGGACTTCTCTGATAATATACTTCTAACCATATTCATGATTGTTCTATTCTTGTGTTCAGTGTCACGGTCATGCTTGTTCAAAGCGTGTTCCCATGGCCGCATGCCCGTTACATGTCAAAACCATTGCCTTGTATCACTTTATTGCTTTCCGTTATTGTTTTCATGATGTGTAATTTCTTTCTTGTCTTTTCTAAGTGCATGATGTTTCAGTAGAATCATGTCTACGCCTGGTAAACATGAAATGCCCCAGAATGTACTATAGGGGGATGCGACCAGTCGTCAACTCCTCCCACCTAGATTTTGTATGATCATTCGGTGAAATAATGTCTAGGCTTGTCAGATATGAGTTGCCTCAAAATGTACTATAAGGAGATGTGACTAGTTTTCAAATTCTCCCTACCCGGAAAGTTATATGCTATTTCGTCGTGTTGCTTTTGGCTTGTAGTCATGTAACATTGTTTTCAAATATTACTCTCAATCTTGCTTTCAAAATCTCTTTGCCCCTATTTTCTAAAACCTTCTTTTCAAAAGAGGGCTAGAGGCTTGAACATATGTTGTCTGGCCGTAGGCGACACAATCCTAAGTTGGCTTGACTCACTCAGTGTTAAGAGTGAGTGTCGCATAATCATCAAATTCGTTGTCAAAAAGTGCAATTGTGATGGTTGGTATCAGAGTCGAGTTGACTCCAACTATGATTCAATAGAAATGGACATTTACTAGTACCTTGATAGTCATGATTTAAGATCATGTATAAAGTTTCAAATCGTTCAGAGGTCACTAAGATCATGAATCGTAGGTTTATAGTATAGGGGTATTATGGTCATTTTACACTGACACTTGTTTTAGCTACTTAATCTTATCCAATGACCGCATAAATTCATATATACATTATGCTCAAATTTAAAATTACATGGGCAACAAAGTTTATTTAGTGGGTTATTCTCACATTAAAATTCAAGCGATTCCTACAAGTATTTCTTAAGAAAAGTTCAAGATGGCTACTTACCTCTTATCTGGTGTTCATAGTCTCATTTCTCAAATGTCGGGTACTTGATTTCCTAAAATATTTTCTTTAAGAATTATTTATAATCAATCTCAAGAGGTTTAATTTGATGAAAAACCTAGAAGGGGTTGGTTTTTAGGCTAACTAGCCACGTCTTCGTCTTCTTCCTCTTGTAGGGGAAGAAAACGTGCACACCAAAGTTTGTCGAAGTCTCGATTATTCGCGGGAGACGACCGAGAGGAACTTGTTATTGGATAAGACTATTGGGACACTTTTAGGCCGCAATTTCTCACGAGAATTCCTCCTTATACTTCTCTCAAGATAAAAGAATTAAATTGGAAGGACAACTTTGTATTGATGTGGCCAATTTTGAATTCCAACCTTGGTCTACAACTCAACTCAAAATGCAAAGTTTGATCCTCCTCGGTAGCTTGATCTCGAATGAATTAGCCCTTAAATCCTTTATCAAATATGCTCACTCTATTTAGTTTCCTAAAATGGGTTGGAAACAAGAGTTTGAGTTTTACTCCCAAAACACTTACTTGATATGTCCTTCGGGGTCTTTTATGGAAATGTCCCTTGGAGGTGTAGAAATTGATTGGGCTAGGTCTCACACGACGAATTCATGTGTAGCCTTGAATTTTCAAAGCTCATTTAGACCCCTTCAATGGTTGACCTAATTGGGAAAATAGGTTTGGGGCGTTTTCGGCGCTTGCTTCCTTCATCAGACCTATGGATAATCAAATTTAGAAGGTTTAGAAATAAGTTTGAAGGTTAATTGTGGACCATTACTCTCGAATTTGGAAGGAACTCAAAAACTCGAAACCAAAAAATGAAAAGCTTATAACTCGAGATTGAAGGATCGGTGTTGCTTGTTTCTCATTCCAAATGATTGCACATGGCTTATAAATTATAGGGGAAGGATCCAGTTCCTTTGAAATATCCACAATCGCCATGATTTCGCAGTTGATCATTTTGGATTTTTTTCGTTTAGTTTTGAATTTTCACAGATGGTTATGATGAGTTGTGAACATTCTAGATCATATCCAATTTTGAGGGAAATCCAACGGCTAGATTTCAAGATATAGTAGATTATGTACAAAAGGGTATCTTGATCATGATTTTCCTACCCTTAGAGGGAAAAGTCCTTCCCTTTTTGGTCGGTTGTGGGCGATGAGGGATTTGAACCCCCGAACCCGTGGTTCAAAGCTACGTGCTCTAATCCTTTGACCTATAAGCCCCACCCTGTCTCCACGGGATGTGTTGCCGGGGTACCCTAAAAAAAGGAACATTTCCTCTCTCCAGCCATTTGTCATTTCGGGTTTAGAAGATGTGAAAGGTCTCTCTATAAGAATTGTGTGTTCCAAAGTGTGAAATGAGAGAAAAGTGGGAGAGAAATGGTTTTGAATAAGACAACCTTTTTTTTTTTATTCATATTGAATATTGAAAAGTAATAAGAATAAGAGGGGTTAAGCTTCCTCGAGTTATATTTCCACTACAGAGGATCAGATTTTGTTAGCCGTGACCATTTTTAATTCTTTTAAATTTTAGAGATATTTTGGTAATTTGCTAATTTTTAAATATTTTAATATTATTTTCTTAAAAAATTAAATTTTTTTTTTATAAAAATATTCCTTACCTTTTGTTGGTCCTTTTTTCTTTGTTGAGCACCTTGAGGGAGGTTCCTTTCTCCCCCAAGAAATTAACTTTCCTTTCTAGACCTTATACAACCCATTTAAACTATACCTTGTCCTTATTGGATGCCTTATTTTCTTCGGGTATTACAGTACTAAATTAAGAATAGTGTGATAGAGTTAGGCCGTTTTCATATTGACTTGAGCAGAACTTTCCAGTAAACTGAGCACCATAATATCGTGAGCAGTGATCAGTGGTTAAGGCAACAATGCTTTTAGAAATTAGATTAACTCAAGAAGCTAGTCTTGAGTGTCTTGTGAGTTTGAGGTTAAAATGTAGACGCCCTAAGAACTTGCTAAAGCTCCACGACACCTAAAGAAATTTAAAAAACTTACAAGGTTGCTAATAGCGTAATGGTATCACCAAAGCCCAACTACCTTCTATTCCCTTTTGGTACATCAGTACTTTAGATCTTACTGTCGATAAGGATCACGGTGTTCCAAATGTTCCAACTAGACCTATTACATGGTCCAAAGCCAAGAAGATTCAACAAGCATTCATTCTTCACTTACAAAATTGGATAAGCTCGGTTCAACCATCATTTCATATGTTACAAGTTGATTCGATTGAGGATGGACCATTTGAAACTTCAGAAGTGAATATTTATACGGTTGAAATAGCAGATGAAGTTGCCAGCATCATATCATGAGTTGTTAGAAAACTTTATTTATTTTTAATTTCATAAAGTTATAAAGTTTGTAATGGTCAAATGGTCAAATTTGAAGTTGCCAACATCATATCATGAGTGGTTAGAAAACTTTATTTATTTTTTATTTCATACCGTTATAAAGTTTGTAATGGTCAAGTGGTCAAATTGACTTCGTCTTTTGTGGAGATTTAAGGGGATTGGGATTAAATACCCGCAATTTATTATGTAAAAATCAGATTTGTGATGAATGGAATTGATCTCTCAAATTGACATTCCCCTTAGAAATTTGAGCATCATCTTTGTCGTTTCTGATTGTAGATTGCATTTGAGCCATTTAATCAAGCTTTGATCAAGTTCGATGGTGGAGTGACTTAATTTAAAACAAGGTTCTAAATCTTGCTCTAGATCTTTGATCGTACAAGGTAATCTAATTCTAGGGTTGATCCGAATTTTGTATAAGGAGTTGTTAATTTCTTTGTTTCTAGGATTCTTGATTCAACAAAAGCTTGGATCATTGAGCTGAGGATTAGAGTTTATCAATATCTCTTTATCAATTGCTATCAGAGCAATTCATAAGGCAACCCTAATCCTCCGCCAATTGGTATTAGAGCCATTGATACCAAATTGACTGAGATTTAGGGTTCCCTTATCAATTGCTTTGATACCAAATTGGCTTATCAATTGCTCTATTGAATTGCTCGGTAACAATTGAGCAATGGATAAGACAACCCTAATCCTCAGCCAATTGGTATTAGAGCAATTGATACCAAATTGACTGAGATTTAGGGTTCCCTTATCCATTACTTTGATACCAAATTGGCTTATCAATTGCTCTATAACAATAGAACAATTGATAAGAGCAATGGATAAGACAACCCTAATTCTTAGCTCAACGATCTAAGCTTTTGTTGAAGCAAGAACCCTTGAATAAAAAAGAAATTAACACCTCCTTATACAAAATTCGAATCAACCGAGAGATTAGGCTGAATTAGATTACTATTATATCAAAGATATAGAAGCAAGATTTGGAACCTTGTTTTAAATTGAGTCACTCCACAATCGAACTTGAATGACTCAGATGCAATCTACAACAAAAATTGCTTGAAATTTATAAATAACAAAGATGATACTCAGATTTTTAAGGGGGGAACGTCTCAGTTTGAGAGATCAATTTCATTCATCACAAATCTAAATTTTACCTGATAATTTATGGGTATTTATAGTCTCTCCAAAAAAGAAGTTAGTGGCCGGGATTTAATCTCGATCCCCTTAAATCTCCCCAAAAGACGAAGTCAATTTGACCATTTGACCCTTACAAACTTTATGAAATTAAAAATAAATAAAATTTTCTAACAACTCATGAAATGATGCTGACAACTTCGTTAGTTTAACCATGCAAATATTCACTTATGAAGCTTCAAATAGTCTTTCCTTAATCAAATCAGCTTGTAACACCTGAAATGATGGTTGAACGGATCTTATGCAATTTTGTAGATGAAGAATGAATGCTTGTTGAATTTTCTTGGCCTTGGATCGTGTAATACGTCTAGTTGGAACACTTGGAACAACGTGGATAAGTAGTGCCCTTTCCAAGTAGTAGGAATCGAGGAACCTTAGCATCAAGCTTGGCCAAGGTCAAATTGGATAACTCGTCGTGGCTATTTGGGGAGTTACTATTGTGTGTAGAAAGGGGTCGTGAGCCTACGCCACAATTTCGTAAACTAATCTTGAAAAGGGACGAGGGACTACATAAGTAACTTAGCTCATGATGTTAAAACGGGACAAAGGTCGAGATCGTGATTCCATAAATTGGTCCCGGGAGGGGACAAGGGACTACATGGGTAGTTAACTCAAGATTAGTGCCCCCAGTGTGTGTGGAAACGACCCCATGCTTCCTGAACATGGTCGTGCCACCGTAAATCTGTCTAAGATAGGGGAGAAACCGCACCACTAAACTTAGTAGTCGCCGACCCACGGGGTTGCTTATTCAGATTTAGTATGACTTTATGGTTATGTGTCAAGGGTTGCTGTCTAACTTTACGAAGATAATGTTCTAATGAGATGATGTTATGTAATGACCTAAATTTTCTTACATAACCTAAGGTCGTTACCATACATATAACCTGAACATTAATGCAAAATTAACTTCATTGAACCCTTATTATAACTTCATAATTTGCATGTCTCATTTATGACCATGGAATAAAACTAATACAAAGAAATAAACAAAGGAAAACAATACATTCGGTATTAAACAATTAAATAGAAATACAATTCAACCTATATTAATCTACGCTACTAATGAAATTGTAAATTCAATTTAAACTAACCTATACTATTAAATGAAAATACAATTCAACTTATACTAACCTATACTACTAAACAAAATACGAATATATCCTATGCATGTGCCACAGTCTTGGATTGTGATGCCTTCGTTAGCTTATTCATTATTTTTTTCCAATCCTAACACTTATTTTCTTGAAAAATCATATCTCTACTTCGATTATCTTCTTGGGCATTGGATCATAGAGTTTAGATGCTTTTGACTCTTCACTCATCCCTAATAGCACGCACTGAAAATTTTTGTCATCTAATTTCTTTTTCTTATCGTCTGACACATGAACATGACCAATGCATCCAAAAACTTGAAAATAATCAACATTAGGTTTTACACCGCTCCAAGCCTCCTTAGGAGTCATATCTTTCACTACCATTGTAGGACTTCTATTGAGCATATGCACTGTCTAGTTTACTGCTTCTGCTCAGAAATTCATTGGAACTTGCTTGTCTGATAATATATTTCTAACCATATTCATTATTTTTCCGTTCTTGTGCTCAGTGTCACGATCATGCTTGTTCAAGACGTGTTCCTATGGCCGCATGCCAGTTACACGCTAAAATCCTTGACTTATGTCACTTTATTGCTTTCCTTTACTCCTTTCATGATGTATAAATTCCTTCTTGTCTTTTCTAAGTGCATGATGTTTTGATAGAATCATGTCTACACCTAGTAGGCATGAAATGCCCTATAATGTAATATAGAGGGATGCGACTAGTCGTTAACTCCTCCCACCTAGATTATGTATGATCGTTCGATGAAATCATGTCTAGGCCTGTTATAACTTAGTTGCCTCAAAATGTACTATAGGGGAATGCGATTAGTTTTCAAATTCTCCTTACCCAGAAAGTATATGCTATTTAAGTCGTTGTGTTGCTTTTTTTTTTTTTTTTTTTTTTTTTTTTTTTTTTTTTTTTTTTTTTTTTTTTTGTTTTTTTTGAGTTATGTAACATTGTTTTCCATTATAACTCTCAATCCTGCTTTCAAACTCTCTTTCAAAATCTTCTTTTCAAAAGTGGGCTAGAGGCTTGAACATACATTGCCCGACTGTAGGCGACACGATCCAGTGAGAGTGAGTGCCACATAATCATCAAATCCGCTGCCAAGAAAAGTGCAATTGTGACAGTTAGTATTAGAGTCGAGTTGAATCCAACTATGATTCAATAAACATGGACATTTACTAGTACCTTAATAGTCATGATTTAAGATCATGTATAAAGTTTCAAATTGTTCGGAAGTCACTAAGGTTGTGAACCGTAAGTGTTATAGTATAGGAGTATTATGGTCATTTTATGCTATCACTTGTTTTAGCTACTTAACCTTATCCGATGACCACAAAAATTCATATATAACTTTTCACGTTATGCTCAAATTGAAACCAAATATATTTAGTGGGTTATTTTAGCTTTACTGGATTCTCCTCAAATTTAAAATTACATGGGCAACAAAGTTTATTTAGTGGGTTATTTTAACTTTACTTGATTCTCGAGCAAAATGCTTTGTTTGGGCCCTTAGCTCATGGTTCGAGCGAAATGCTTTGTTTGGGCCCTTAGCTCATAGTTCTTAGTGTTTTTCTATATTCTCTTCATTCATACTTAACTCAAGGCTCACATCAAGAAAAGTCCCTGATGGCTACTAACCTGTGTTCAGAGTCTCATTTCTCAAAAACTTGCCGGTACTTGATTTCCTAAAATATTTTCTTTGTGAGGTTCCTTATGGAGTTTAGTTTCTAGAACCATGGAGAATTATTTAGAATCAATCTAAAGTGGTTTAATTTGATGAAAAACCTAGAAGGGGTTGGTTTCTAGGCTGACTAGCCTAGTCATCGTCCTCTTTTTGGCCCATTTTAGGATAGTCAACGTCCTCTTTCTGGCCCATTTTAGGATATTTTCCCCTCAATTATTTTATGAAACTTTAAGATAGGGTTTCATAGAAGAGTTAGTGTATGATATCTCACCTTTGTGTGGACAATAGCCTAAGTTATCTGTTCTCAAAGTTTGTCAAAGTCTCGATTATTTGTGGAAGACGATTGACAGGAACTTGTTATTGGATACGACTATTGGGACACTTTCCAGCTGCAATTTCTCACAATAATTCCTCCTTGTACTCCTCTCAAGATAAATGACTTAAATTGGAAGGACAACTTTGTATTAGTGTGGCCAATTTTTAATTCCAACCTCGGTCAATAACTCAACTTAGAGTGTAAAGTTTGATCCTTCTGGGTAGCTTGTTCTCGAACGAATTAACCCTTAAATACTTCATCAAATATGCTCTATTTAGTTTCCTAAGGCTAGTGAAAGCCTCAAATTTGAATAAAATGAGTTGGAAACAAGAGTTTGAGTTTTACTCCCAAAACACTTACCTGATATTAAATTTCAATAATGGGACATGCTCCTATAGTTATTGTCCTTTGAGATCTTCTATAGAAATGTCCCTTGGAGGTGTAGAAATTGGGCTAGGTCTCACACGACGAATTCATGTGTATCCTTGAATTTTCAAAGCTCATTTAGACCCCTTCAATGGTTGACCGAATTGGGAAAATAGTTTGTGGCGTTTTCAGCACTTGCTTCCTTCATCAGACCTATGGATAATCATATTTATAAGGTATAGAAAAAGGTTTGAAGGTAAATTGTGGACCATAACTCTCGAATTTTGAAGGAACTCAAGAACTCGAAACCCAAAAATGAAAAGCTTATAACTCAAGATTGAAGGATCGGTGTTGCTTGCTTCTCATTCCAAATGAACGCACATGGCTCATAAATTATAGGGGAAGGATCCACTTCCTTTGAAACATCCACAATCGTCATGATTCCACAGTTGATCATTTTGGATTTTTTCGTTTAGTTTTGAATTTTCACAGTTGGTTGTGATGAGTTGTGAACATTCTAGATCATATCCAATTTTGAGGGAGATCCAACGGCTAGATTTCAAGATACAGTAGATTATGTACCAAAAGTATCCCGATCATGATTTTCCTACCCTTAGAGGGAAAAGTCCTTCCTTTTTTGGTCGGTTGTGGGCAAGGAAGTATTTGAACACCCGACCCCGTGGTTCGTAGCTACGTGCTCTAATCTTTTGTGTTATAGGCCCCACCCTGTCTCCACGGAATCTGTTGCCAGGGGTACCCTAAAAAAAGAACATTTCCTCTCTCTAGCCATTTGTCGTCTCAGGTTTATAAGATGCGAAAGGTTCTCTCTCTAAGAATTGTGTGGTTCTCTCTCTAAGAATTGTGTGTTCCAAGGTGTGAAGTGGGAGAAAAGTGGGAGAGAAGTGGTTTTGAATTAGACAATTTTTTTTTTTTTTTTCATATTGAATATTGAAAAATAATAAGAATGAGGTGTTAAGCTCTTTATCACCAAAGCTATTTTTCCACGGCAGAGGATCTGATTTTGTTAGCAGCAAAATTTTTGTAATTCTTTTAAAGTTTAGAGATATTTTGGTAATTTGCTAATTTCTAATATCGTGAGCAGTGATCAGTCGTTAAAGCAACAATGCTTTTAGAAATTAGATTAGCTCAGGAAGCTAGTCTCGAGTGTCCTAGAAATGTGAGTTTGAAGTTAAAATGTAGACGCCCTAAGAACTTACTAAAGCTCCACGACACCTAATGAAATTTAAGAAAACTTACCAGGCCACTAATAGCGTAATGGTATCACCAAAGCCCAACTACCTTCTATTCCCTTTTGGTACATCAGTACTTTAGATCTTACTGTTGATATGGATCACGGTGTTCCAAATGTTCCAACTAGACCTATTACACGGTCCAAAACCAAGAAGATTCAACAAGCATTCATTCTTCATATACAAAATTGGATAGGCTTGGTTCAACCATCATTCATGTGTTACAAGTTGATTCGATTGAGAAAGGACTATTTGGAGCTTCGAAGTGAATATTTACACGGTTGAAATAGCCGATGAAGTTGCAAGCATCATTTCATGAGATAGAAAACTTTATTTATTTTTAATTTCATAAAGTTGTAATGGTCCTGGTCAAATTGACTCTGTCTTTTTGTGGAGATTTAAGGGGTCGGGATTAAATCTCGGCCACTAACTTCTTTTGTGTGGAGACTATAAATACCCCAAATTATTATGTAAAAATCAGATTTGATGAATGAAATTGATCTCTCAAATTGATGTTCCCCCTATAAATTCGAGCATCATCTTTGTCGTTTCTAAGTTTCAAACAATTCTTGTTGTAGATTGCATCTGAGTCATTCAATCAAAGTCTTGATCAAGTTCGATTGTGGAGTGACTCAATTTAGAACATCATCTTTGTCGTTTCAAGTTTCAAACAATTCTTGTTGTAGATTGTATCTGAGTCATTCAATCAAGTCTTGATCAAGTTCGATGGTGGAGTGACTCAATTTAGAACAAAGTTCCAAATATTGCTTCTAGATCTTTGATCGTAAATGTAACGACCCAAAATTTTATACTTAATTTAAGGTTGTTTCTGTAAACATACCATAAACATTGAATGCGGAAGACTTCATTTAAATTCCATAAAACATAACCTTTATCTTAAAACACAACCATTGACTTACGTGTTTCGAAAACATCTTTAAAACGACACAACAAAAGACTAAATAAAAATGAATAAGAGTTAAGTTAAAAAAACATCATACTCTAGCCTAAGACTAAGAAAATAAATACCACTACCCTATGCATGTGTCATGGTCTCGAGTTGCGATGTCGTCGTGAGCCGTACATGAATGCTTTGTCTTAACCTGAAAAATGTAGTAACACGTGGCTTGAGTATTTAAAGAAATACTCAGTAAGTGACCCCACTATTAGGGTTAAATGCAACAATCACATGCAATAAAATGATGGGACCTATCTTTCGTTTTGTTTCGTTTTGTTTCGTTTTTCCTACGGTGCTGTCCTAACGGGTAATTGTGGACGTGTACCATATACTCTATTCACAGCCCATACGTGCGAGTATGGGCTCACAAGCTAGTTCGCACATCGTTGGGCCACTTTTCTTATCTGGTGGACATACTCTGGGAGTCCCTTATGCAGGGACCCGTTAAAATTAGTAACGGTCACGGTAGCGCTATGCAAAGCATAACGATCGTTGTCCTGCCATGGATGTACACGTCCGTACCCTCGTGATGTAACGATCGTTGTCCTGTTAAAGCATAACAATTGTTCCCCCAGATGCATGAACACACATAATGGATGAGGTCCCCACTACTTCTACATTTATCATTAATGAACATAACCCCCCTGTCATGCTTCATGTCCTTCTCATTTTCAATTTACATTTCATACATATTCCTATCGGGGTTATGATTCCAGACAGTTTACCGTATTTCATGTCATACAATTCATGCTGTTTACATTCAAACATTCCATACAATCATGCCATAACCATTCAAGAACATATCGTTACATGCATTACACATCACATCAGACTAAACAGCATACATAGCATACATTCACGTTCACATGACTACGTACTTAAGCACAATAATCTAGCATACAATTTATTATATCATAAACAAGTCATAACGTAAACACTTCATAGTCATATTGTTCTCTAACTTACCATAACCTTAACGTTCATATACCTATCACAAACATATCTTTATGTAATGTACCTTAGTCATATCATCACAAGAACGTATCTTAACGCTATCGTTCTATCAATCTATCACAAACCTATCCCTTTCTACCCATAGCCTAACCGTATTCATTCATCAATCACTCCTATCCATAGCACTCCGGTATGTAACCTAATAACGTTTCATGAACTTATCTTACTCCTATTGTTACATTTCGTTTTGTGC